AAGATCATCACTTCAATTGCCAACTCAACTATGGCATTTAAAAATTCTTCACTGAACAACTGATCCCCTTCCAAATACAGGTGGCCCTGTTCTGACATTGTTCTCATTCACAATGCTTCAGTTTTACCTAACAGAAAATCAACCAGGAAATTTATTCTCTCACATAACAAGTTTGGTGTTAGGCAAGTTCCAGAGCTGATTAATTCAGTGGCTCAAAAGTCATCAAAGACCAAGTTTTTTTTCCGTTGTTCTACTCTGACATCCTTAGGATGCTGGCAATTACGACTTCATAGTCATCTCACAATAAGCCTGTGAATTTCATTCAAACTGTTGCTTGAATTTCAAACTGTTGCTTGATGGTTGTTTAGAATGAAGAAAACAATTTTCTCATTTGTACTGTGGAAGGCAATTTAGAAGTACCTACAGAATTATTTTTAATATGCATATCCTTTGATCTTATAATTCCACTTCTAAGAATTCAACTCAGGAATATGTAAATGGACAGAAACTCTTTTTAACAGCAAAAATCTGGAAGCAGCCTAAAATAGCCACTAATACAGGTGATTACTTAACCTGAGAGACCCATACAATAGAGTACAGCTGTTTAACATGGAAATATATCCACGTTTTGTTGATAAGGGTCAAGCTGCAGGGAGTATGCATATAGAAGTAAAACTACCTATGACATCAAAAGCACAGGCAACAAAATCTTAAAAAATAAGCTAGATTCCATCAAAATTATCTGTGCATCGAAAGACAAAAGAGTGAAGACAACCCACAGAATGGGTGAAAATATTTTTTTATTTTTAACGTTTATTTTTGAGAGAGCGAGCGAGCACGAGAGGGTGAGGGGAAGAGAGGGAGACACAGAATCGAAAACAGGCTCTAGGCTCTGAGCTGTCAGCAGAGTCTGAGGTGGGGCTCAAACTCACGGATTGTGAGATCACAACCTGAGCTGAAGTCCAGTGCTTAACTATCATATTTGTGAAGTGTGTATCTGATACGGGGTTAATATCCAGAATATGTAAAGGACTCCTTCAGCTCAACAACAAAAAAATAATCTGTTTAAAAATGGGCCCAGGACTTAACAGTAGACATTTCTCTGAAGATATACAAATGACCAATAAACATATGAAGAAATGATCACGAACCATTAAGGAAATGCAAATCAAAACCACAATATCACCTCACAACCATTAAGACATTTACTATCAAAAGTAGAAAATAGGGTTTGCCAAGGATGTAAAGAAACAGGAGCCCTTGTGCCCTACTGATCAGAATGTAAAACGGTGTAGCTGCTGTGGAAAACAATATGATGATGATTCCTCAAAAAGACCTTGGGTACATACTCTCAAAAAAATTGAAAGCAGGGTCTTAAAGAGATCTTTGTACACCCATGTTTACTGCAATAGTTAAGATGGTTCCTCGAAAACTTTCTAGGTATATCTCAACAGAACTGATAACAGGACCTTGAAGAACAGTATTATTCACAATAGCGAAAAGGTGAAAGTAACTTAAATGTCTACTGACAGTTCAACGCATAAACAGAACATGGTGTGTAAACATACAGTATTATTCGGCCTTAAAGAGAAGAAAGAAATTAGGACACATTCTGTAACATGGGTGAACCATGAGAACATTACGCTAAATGAAATAAGTCAGTTGTAAAACAAGTATTATTATGACTCCATATATATGAGGTATCTAGGAGTCAAACTCCTGGAAACAGAAAAGAATGATGTTTGCCAGGGGCTAGGAGGGCCAAGGGATGGGAAGTTGTTGACAGGGTAGTTTCACTCTTGCAAGATAAAGTTCTAGGGAATGTTTGCACATTGTAATGTACTTAACGTTACTGAGCTGCACAATTTTACCAAAATTAAAAAAACTTTTAGTGACGCCTGGGTGGCTCAGTTTTAGTTGGATGTCTGGCTCTTGATTTCAGCTCAGGGCATGATCTCACAGTTCTTGGGACCTGAGCCCCATGTTGGACACCATGCTGCCAGCAGAACCTGCTTGGGATTTTCTTTCTCCCTTTCTGTCCATCCCCCCAAATAAATAAACTTAAAAAAAAAAAAAAAAGTTTTTAAATACAAATACCAAATTGAGAAAAAACCCAAATTGTACATATTTGCAGAGTTTAGAGGGATAAACCCCTAACTCCTAATAGTAGTTATGTATCGAGAATACTGATGGGAAAAGGAAGGACTTTTGTTATTTACTTCCTATCTTTCTATTCTACTGGCATTTTAATTATAAACATGCTCTATGCTAGGATTTTTAAATTCAATTTTTTAAAAAAGTGTTTTGGATATAACTTAAAATTAAACTCTAGGTACAATAGACTTAAGTTCTAGCCCACTTTAAAAGTTTTACCAAACACATCTCCTCACAAAAAGCATGGCCTGAGTAGGTTATTATGGTTAGCTCTAAAAGGAAGAATTAAGGACAACCTCCTGTGTCATCCAGTTAATAGGCGATGTGCCTATTAGGCTTACCCCAGGAATTGTCCATGACACTGCCTAGCCAATAATGCCTAAAACTAGATTAGACAAAGATCCACTCTCTCATCTTGAAACTGACAAATTTGACACAATAGCTGGTGCCTGCAAATACAAAATCCTAGGGTTTTCAAACTATTCTTATCGCGTTCTCTCCCTACCTAGACTAATAAAACACCAGGCCTGCACCAGCACTTAACTTTTTCAGAGCCTTATTTTCCTCCCACCCCCACTTCAAGAATGTTACAAGAGAGTTAGTGGGTGGTTAGCAAGACCCCCTCAGAAACCAACAGCCATTCCAGAAAAATAATTGCTCACATACCAAGGGCTGCCAACAAGAGCAGCTTCCCAGCAGCATGTTTTAATAACCTTAATGAAGCAGAGAGCAACGCCTCCTATAATACAAATTCGGGTTGGAAAAAAGATCTACAGATTGTGGAAAAGTACAACTTAAAAAGCAAACACCACAGGCTCCAGTAAGGCAGGAAAGCAAGCAGAGATTTCTAAATACAGAGCTCAATTGTAAGAGTTCACTGTACCTTATTTCTATCATCGTTTGCTCTGTCAAAAATAGAACTTTCCAGGTCTTGATCCATTCAGAATAAGCCACAGCAGGCACAGCTTTGCTTACACAGGGCAGCCAGGTCAGAAAGGCCACACAGGGAAATGGAAAAGCAGCCAGCAGGTTTTCTTAGGGATTATACTGCTCCGGCTTTTATCCTTCTTCCTAGCTATTTTGGTGCCAAGAAAGCTGCAGGGAGGTCTTTGCTCTGCTCTGAAAAAGCTTTTACTAGAAAGGCTGAAGCAGTCCCAGGGCTGCAACTCCCTCTGCTGCCCAAGGATTTCTTTGCACGCTGTAGCAGGTTCAATGCATTTCAAACTCAACTATGTTAAAAGAGCTAAAGTAAAGTAGCCCTTTACTTCAAAATGTGACCAAAAAGGCACAGGTTCAAACAGGAGAGGAACAACTAGAATGCCAACTTCTAAGCTGGACAAATTTCTACACTTGCCTACAAACCTCCTCTATCTCGAAAAGATTTCTTTTGCTCAGTTTAAAGCAAAGTTCGCCATCTCCCTCACAGGCACTTGGAAAAGCAGGAACTAGTCTTGCTCCTTCTTCACTAACCTTTAATAATGCCCACTACAAGAATTTAAGGTAGGCCTTATTCATCTTTCAAGATCCAATTTAAATAGCACTTAGTGTGTGGCACTGAAGCTATTTGTTTGCCAGTCTGTTTCACTGCATTTATTCAACCTTTTGCCCGTGTAACAGTGGATGCTCAATAATCACTGAACAGAATTCTAACTAGAACCACCCTGGGGTCATTTTTCACTTATTTAAGTAATCCCTATTACTTAAATAGGGATTGAAGTGTGTCATGACCCTGAGATCTAGAGTCACATGTTCTACCGACTAAGCCAGCCTGGCGCCCCTAACTAGAACCGCCCTGAGAAACTGGGGGAGGAAAGATCTATCCACATAATTCAGTTGGGAACTAAGAAATTACTGAGGGAGGCACCAAAATCTTTAGAGAGAAGGGGAAGAGATACGTGTTGCTCCAACGAACATACGATTATTATGCCTACCAACTTACCAGCACTGCTTGTGGTCTTTTTCAGGTTATCAATCTCACAAAGTGTCCCTCCTGTTAACTTTTTTTTTTAAGTTTATTTATTTATTTTGAGGAAAAGAGAGAGATCTCAAGCAGGCTCATGCTGTCAGCACTGAGTCCGACGTGGAGCTTGATGCCACAAACCATGAGATCATGGCCTGAGCAAAAGCCCTGAAACCAAGAGTAGGAAGGATGCTTAATCAACTGAGCCACCCAGGCACCCCTCCCTCCTGTTAACTCTTAACAGAGCTCATTTTATTTATTTATTAAGTTTATTTATTGAGAGAGAGAAAGAGAGCACAAGTGGGGCAGAGACAGAGAATCCCAAGCAAGCTCCACACTGCCAGCGCGGAGCCCAACACAGGGCTGAAACCCACGAGCTGCGAGATCATGACCTGAGCTAAAGTCGGAAACCTACCCGACTGAACCACCCAGGTGCCCCAACAGATCTCATTTTAAATGTACGTTTAGGGCACTTTACTCTTTGCTTATACCCAAATACTTCTCACATTCTGATCTCAGTAATACAAGAATTCACAAAGACCTCAGAGAGTGACTCGGAGAGTGCTAATAAGCAAATACTGAAACTATTATAGCACCTCCAACCTACTGTGGTTAGGAATTCTAGTGTTCCAGCATCTAGAACTAGAACTGATAATGAAGACATATATTAGTTTAAAAACCTTTATTTCTGCAAACCCTCCTCTTCTCCATGACCCAATATCAGAAGCTTACCTGTCAGGTAGAATTCCTACTCTTTGCCTTAAGAATCTACAGATCCAGGCCCTATAAAAAACAAATGCCCAGGGGCAGCTGCCGCCCTTCAGAAAACTTAGGGGCCACTGTGTAAAAGGTCTCTAACACTGGATAGAAAGAAACAATGTAAATGTTTAAATAAAAACAATCCCACAGCATTTATTGTCATCTGGTAATAACATAAAGGTAATCAAAACAATAGGAACAAATGTTTTAGAACTATACTCCCAACAAAGGACCTCTAAAAAAACAAACTACATGGCCTTCTCAAGAATTTCTCACTTCATTGATCATTTCTAGTTGGAGACACTTTGGAGCAGGGTAATATTATCTCCTTTTAGCATGATCCGACCTGCAACAGAAAATTAAAAAAAAAAAAAAAAAAAAGCTATTAATAGCCACTCAGACAAGTGTGCAACACCTTTTAGCCTCAGAATTTCAGATCACACTTGAGCAATTTTGAAATGCTTTCTTCCTTGAGAAGGTATGTGAAAAATTTCAAATATCCACATATTGAAAAGCTCTGCATATGAGAGTGTATGAGCTTTTCCAACAATAAACTAATGAATGTAGAGAAATATTATTTTACGAAACCTCCGATTTCTACAGACTAAGTCAACTGACTAGGTCTACCCCAACATATCCCACTGCTCTGAGTTTGTAGAAGTTGAAGAACGAGGGGTGTTCCAAGTTTAAAACATTTGACAGCATCCGATACCATTCTTGTTTTCAATAAATTAAAGAGTCTATACTACAATAAATAAAATTCTTCAAATTTATCCACCATTTCCTAAACTTATTTGAGCAGGGAATACTTTTTTCCTGAGAAATAGCTATAAATTTCTTCAGTGTTGAGTAAAATCATTTTGAGAAATACTAATCAACCCCAATTGTGATTGATTTTTAAGTTTCTCAGACTTCTACAACAGGCAATATTAATCTATTCTATAGGATAAATACTATCACAGGAATTCAACACCCTCCAAATAATTTATATATACTGATGTCAATAAAGCTAGCTTACCCTTCCTGGCAAGACATGTTTAAATTCGAAAATCCAGACTTTCACAAAAATAGCCTAAACAGAAAGAAGCATAGCAAAACACCATACCACTTCTCAGATTCTACCTTCCACATATGTCCTACAGGCTCAAGAGAATCCTCAGGGTCCGGAAAAAAGAGACACCTGAAGGCCACCACTGATTAAGGTACTAGTGAGCTGTGAACTAGGCATTAAACAATTAAAAACAAAGTACCTAAATAACTTCAAATGAACAGGATTTTGAAAGAAATGACTGCTTGTCTTGAAGTCGTGATTCCTAAAGACCCTTCATTAACTGGGTTCAGGACCTGCATTCATTATTCAAATATTTTTTTGTTTCTATTGTATGACAGGCACTGAATCAGGCACTAGGCCTATTTAGGGAGCAAAAAAGAGGGGACTTATGGAGCACGCGGCCCAGTGAGAGAGACATTAATCGAACAATCCCACTAATGAGTGTTTTACTATAAACTCAGCACAGCCTGTCTCCCCCGCCCCCATCCTCACCCCAGTAAGACAAAAAGAAAACCTGATATCTGACATTTGATTGGAGTCCTAAACACATAGGAAACCACATATACAAAGATTTATGGTGGAACAAGTATGCAGGTTCAAACAGCTGAGAGAGCACACGTGTGGATGAAGCTCAGAAAATGAAGCAGTGATACAAAACGAGCAGAGAGAGAAAAGATCATGAAGAACTTTGCAGAATACATTAAAGATTTTCTTATCCCACTAGCAACAGGAAGTCACGGAAGGTTTCACGCAGAGGGATGACAAGGTCAAATTGGTGCTTTTCAAAGATAACTGCAGCCTGCAGAGCAAAGTGGAGGGGGCTGAGGCAGTTGCAAAGAAATCAACCAGTAAACTGAATGGGGGTTGGTGCCATTCAGTAAGGCAGGAACACTAAAATAGGTCTAAAAGAGTGTACAGGGAGTGGGAAGCGAGTTTGATTTCTGACATGCTCACTTTGAAGAGCCTTTGAGACATCCAGGTAGACATGGTGAATAGGCTCAGAGAGGCCTACTGCTACAGAGGTGAATCTGAGGTCAATATAGAGATGGCAACTGAAGGCATAGTCTACAAGGGCCTGGGTAAATAACACCAAATGACAGGAGGGCCTAGAACCCAGCCTTGAGCAACTCAAAACATTTAATGGCGGGGTCTGAAAGGATGAATATACAAAAGTCTGAAAAGGAGTAACTAGAAATGAAAAATAAAACCGAGTACAGTATCACGGAGCCAAAGGAACAAAGCGTTTTAAGGTGGGAGTGGCCCACGGCGCCAAACGCTGTTCAGAGTTCTATAAAATGAGAACTAGTATTGACGACTCGATTTGACACCGTTAGTCTTTGGTGACCTTCATGAGAGGGGTCTGAGTGGAGAAACAAAAGCAGAAATGGAGTGGGGTAAGCAGCAAGTGGCTGAGGAGGATTTCAAAAGCATATACTCCTCCACACAGTGAATTCTCAACTGCACACTAAATTTAAACATGAATAGAGTTACAACTCGTTCAATTCTGCAAGCGAATAAATATTTCTCTAAGTCCAAAAGGCCAGCTATTCTTACCCAGTTGTTTTCTTGACTTTGTTTTAGAATGAATCTCTTCTGCATCATCTAATACGAGGTTCATGTACTCATCAAAACCCTAGAAAGATAAGCCAACCGAATGTCATCTTCAAGTAAAATCACACGCACGCCATTTCAGATGACTACACCAACCTCAATATAGAAATGCCAACTAACTTCAGAAATTCACCTTTCTACTGATCTTTCAGCTGAAACACCATCTCCCTCCTAAGCCTTTTTTTAAATAACAAAAGAAAGGCAGACTGTACTCCAAATTACCTTTAGAGCCTTTTGGACTTAAGATCTGATTAGCTGCGCCTAAGAGCCACTGTCCCTGTCTTTTACAACCTGTCCCATACAGAATTGTGTGTGAACTTGCACTGGCACCACTCCTCCCGTGTTCCTCACAAAACACTATCACCACTACCCAGAACGTTTGTTTTTCTACTAGTAATCACAGAAGGGGAGATTACTGACGGAATCTACAATGTCTAAAGGGAATACCAAAGTGTCCTAACATACTACTTTTCAGCCATGTTTTATCTTTCTTTACGATTTTAGCGTATGTGCTGCTGAAGCAAGCACTGTTTTGTCTTTCTTTAAAACATTATTTAGCGTACGCTGCCATCCTGAAAGTCCTATTGAACTAACCCCACCCAGGTATATTCAGGTTATCACCTAAGACAGAACTAATGCACCACTGATTTTCACCCCACTGTAATTTCATTTCTTTCGTCCCGTCCTTCAAATACTAACACTGTTGTTCAAATAATTTTTAAAGATTAATTGTCCCTCTCTTATGAATGACCCAAACCCTATTAAGTACAACAGTGAGACAAGGACAGTGGCCCTGAAGAACCTTCCTTGGGTTGGGTCACTGTCTTTTTGTACACTGTCCTGGCTGGGCATTTTTGCAAAATCGTTTTCTATGAACACCGACTGAGAGAAAACATCCTGGTTACTCACAATGATACAGCCCTCTATCCGCATGTTCACTTGCTCATAAAGCCACACCTGAATCCGAGATCTCTGAAATAATCGTAAAAATAGGCATGTTAAAAAAACAAGCAAAACAAGCACTCTGGTCAAACAATACAGAAATCTGGCTCCTAAAGAAAACCTTCAAAAATAAAAGCCAAGAATTTAACTACTCAAATCATATGTAAGAATTAGTAACCAAGATTAGTTACTTGCCAAGCAACAGTCTCAATAAATGCTATATTGGGACCAAGTTAATAATTTTCCTGTGATGCTAGGACTCAATTGTATTTCTTACAGCTTCTCGTCTCGATACATATTGAGTGCTAATTGACAGTATAGCATAAAGCAGCAATTCCCAAATCATCAGGGCTTCTTTCTTATGTGCAATAGCAAAATCCAGCTTCAAAACAGCTTTCTCTAGGTTCCCAGGTTTCCACATCTCACATTTAACAACCAGGGGAAGGACCCTCAAGCCTGGTGATTAAAAATTACAATAGCCTGGGGGCACCTGGGTGGCTTACTGGGTTAAGCACCCCCGCTTTTGACCTCAGCTCAGGTCTTGATCTCAGGGTCAGGAGTTTAAGCCCCACTTTGGGCTCTGCGCTGGGCATGAAGCCTGCTTAGAAAAAAAAAAAAAGTTACAATGGCTTGGGGTGTCTGGCTGGCTCAGTTGGGTGAAGCATGTGACTCTTGATCGTGGGGTCATGGGTTTGAGCCCCACGTTGGGTGGAGATTACTCAAAAAAAAATTATCATGGCTTGAAATTAGTCTGTCTGCAACTGTGTTACACATACTACAACGGTCAGAGCAATAGAAAATGCATTTTCTTTCCAAAATAACTTAAATACTCGGCCCTACTACCTCACAATGTGAATTGCTAAAAATTCCCCTAAAGGAAAGCTGCCTGCCACTATATCCTCTGAAGGTATCCCTCCTCTCTTCCTTTTCGGGCATCTTTTTTATATCTCAGTTTTCTCCCAAGTGCTAAACACACCACCTTATTATGTGGCTTAAAGTCGACAGGATTTCTTTCCTTCAGTGTTTCACCCCAGAGGAAAGGACAGGGGAAACGTTCCAATAATGAGTACCAACAAAAGCACCCAAATACCAGTCATGCCTGCCAAGAACTGCTTTTTGAAGTACTTTTGGTCTTGCAAAAGTAATGACACTATTCTTTCACTGCTTGGAGTGGGCATTTCATTACATCCCGGAGCCCCTTCCCCGCAAATACTCCTCCAATCTCCGGTTTCACCTACTTTTTTTTTTTCCTTAAGGAAACGCCAGCCCCACGGTGGGGCTGGAACACTCCACTCCCAAGATCAAGAGTCGCACATTCGACCGACCGAGCCAGCCAGGCGCCCGTTTCATCTATTTTTAACTCTAGAACACGTTGATTAGGCAGGATGATGCAAACAAGCCAAATAAATTCACCTTTTACTTTAAAAAAAAATGACAGAACAACAAAGCACAAACAACTTACGTACATTTTGCAAGTATCTGAAGATGAGGTTCTGCACCAGTGGTTAAGGAAAAAAAAAAATACAGGCAGAGGATAGACCGTGCTCCCCGAAACGGGTCAATCCCACCCCCATCTCGCCTTTGTTTTCTGAACACGAGGTCTGGTGTCCAGGCAACGGCCGGAGCCCAGCCAGGCACTCTTTAGGGGCTCCCGAACGTTCCGAAGGAATCCCTCCCACTCCTTTGCTCTCCAGGGGCTTCTTGGCGCCGACATCTTCCTCCTCCCTGAGCCTGAGGACTCCCACCTCCACTCAGTACCTAACTAAAGCCGTCTTCCTTCGCTCATCCGCGCCACTCCTGCACTGCCCACTGCAGGGGACTGCCCAAGCCCACCTCTCACCGGGTCTTCAACTACCCCGCGCTTTCTCCCGGCCTCGGTCGCCCCGGGTGCTCATGGGATGCGGGTCCGCACTCCGCTCCCTCAGGCCTGCTCTCGGTCTGCTCTTTCGCCCCCCCGTTTTCTGGCCCGAACCTCCCAGTCCTGACATCCTACGTAGGATACGATGGGCTGCACCATCACCTTCTGCACTTTTTGGCCCTGGCCGCGGTACGCCATGGTGGAAGCTGACAAAGACCGCACGCTAGCTCTGAGAGCAACTTCCGGCAAAAGAGGCGGAAGCGGAAGTGTGTGGCGCGCGCGAGGCGACCGGGGCGGCTCCTGGGAAATGCCTCTCTAGCCGTGGAGGTTGCTTTTCTCGGTGCTCCATAGCCCCTGCGGGGAGGCCCTCCGGAGGCGGCCGCACCTTGGACCGTGAGTCGGTCCTACAGCGCCTCCTGGAGGGAGCCGGGAGGAGGCGCCGAGCGGCCTCGCCTGTACGGCGGCCGCGGCGGAAAGCGGTGCAGACGCTGGCGCCTGGCGCCGGAGCGGCTCCATTTTCTATGTGGGCTTTAGGGGCCGAGTGGTTACCCTGCGTACCTCTAGGGTCTAGGGCTTTTTCTGAGGCCTATTTCCTTGAAATTTAGGCATGAGGGGCCGCATCGTGATGGAGAGGGTAGGGCGGCAAGAAACCCAACTCGGAGGACCGCCCCCCTGACACTAGCCAGGCCCCGCCCCGCCTGACACTAGCAGCCACAGATGATCTGAAACCCGGAGACCCCCCCTCCACCCACACCCACACACACCTGCCACTAGCAGCCACAGATGATCTGAATGCAAAAATCAGGCCCTGTGGTTCGCTCTGATCCCACTCTCGTCCCCTTTGTTTTCTGAACACTGTAAGTAAGGGGTTACTGCAAGGTGGCCGCAGGGCCCGGCTGGCGGGGAAGCCCTGAAACCTGAGGACTAGGCCCAAATAAGGGTAAGTTCCTCAGCCTTGCCCTGTCTCGGCGGTGGCGTCACCAGGATGGAGATGAAAATGTCCTTCCTCGCCGGGTTGAAGATGCAGTGAAGCGGTGCCTTGTGTGTGTGCTCAGCAAGGCCTCCGTGTTGAAACACACTGTCGCCCCGGGGACAGGGCTGGAAGGAGAGGAGCTGGAGTTTGTAAGGTTTTGTCAGGGGCTTGTGGCCTGGCAGAAATGTTATTTGATCGGGATACCCATTTCACAGATGAAGAAACTGAAGCTCAGAGTTGCGGGGACTCCTCTAAGGGGACACCCCTTAGGCAAGTGGCAGAATCATAACTTGCCTGAGATCTTCTGCCGAGTACAATATCGATGCTTGTCCTTATAAAATGTTGTGATTAAAGGATGTGAAAATGAGCTTTACACAATAAAGAGCTGGAAAACGCACAAGATAATTATTTGTTTTAAAAAAAAGGTGTCCCACCCAATCCCAGTAGAGGGTTAGATCGTCCACAGAGTAAACAGGAGATTTGTTGAATTCAAAGATAGCATGGGTGGAATAGACTATCATACCTGTCTCATCTCAGAAAACAAAGATGCTTAACTACTTTTGCAACTTTCCGGCTCTGACGTCATGATGCCTAGGCTTTTGGAGATCGATCCCTATAACCTATTATCTGATCACATAGTTCGTGAGAAGCGATTTAAAAAAAAAAAAAAAGTTTGCTTGGGCGCCTGGTGGCTCAGTTTGTTGAGAGTCCCACTTCAGCTCAGGTCACATCAGGGTCACTGCTTCAGTGGGGAGCCAGCTTTGGAGCCTCTGCCCCTCCCCTGCTCGCGCTTCCTCACTGTCTCTCTCCCTCTCTCTCTCACAAAAATAAACATTAAAAAAAAAGTAAAAATGATTTTGCTTTTTTACATTTAAATTTTTGAACCATCTAGAATGTATCCCAGTATATCCTGGAACTGATACAACTTTGTAATATCTAGATGGCTACCCAGTTTTCCATTACTATTACAAAAAAATAACCCATTGTTCCCCATTTAATTTAAAATGCCACATTTAGGGGCATCTCAGTGGCTCAGTTGGTTGAGCGTCGGACTCTTGATTTCTGCTCAGGTCATGATCCCACCAGGGGCCTGTGATCAAAGCCCAAGTCAGGCTCTGCACTTGGGATTCTTTTTCACCCTCTGCCCCTCTCCCCCACTTGCACTCTGTATACCTCTCAAAATAAATAAATAAACATTAGAAATAAGGGGCGCCTGGGTGGCTCAGTCGGTTGAGCGTCCGACTTCAGCTCAGGTCACGATCTCGCGTCCGTGAGTTTGAGCCCCGCGTCGGGCTCTGGGCTGATGGCTCAGAGCCTGGAGCCTGCTTCAGATTCTGTGTCTCCCTCTCTCTCTGCCCCTCCCCCGTTCATGCTCTGTCTCTGTCTCAAAAATAAACGTTAAAAAAAAATTAAAAAAAAAAAGAAATAAAATGCCACGTTTATAATATACCAAGTGTGTGTGTGTGTGTGTGTGTGTGTGTGTGTGTGTAGTTTATATTTTGCTCAATTGATCTTTGTGTCTATTTATGGGCCAGTGTCACTGTTGCAAGTATTGTATGATGTTTATTTGCTAGGACTAAAAGTCAGTAGAACTTTGTTAGCTATTCTTGTTTGTTTCTTATAAACTTTAGAATTAGCTTATCTGATTAAAAGAATCCTTTTACAATAAACTTGAGAACAACTTAGAATCAGTTTTTTAAAACTAAGTACCTGATGGCTATTCGTTTAAATTTTCCTTTTGAGTTTTTGAGAATTTTCCAGTAAACTTTTTAGTTCCTTTTTGCTAGCTTATCTGGTGTAATCATAGATATTTCCTCTTTCTTGTAGTTAACAATTGCCTTTTCCTTGCTTGTATGCTCTAGCAGGGTTTTAGAAGAAAAAGTGATAGATTCAATTACATGAAAATTACATGAAGTTTTGGGTGACTAAAAAGCCACCATAATAAGCAAAGTCAAAAGATCTGGGAAAAGTATGTTTGCACCACATCAAACTAATGGCTAGTTTTATTAGTATATAAAGAACTTTTTAAAAATGCTCCTCTGGTTCTCTATTGCTGTGAAAGATTTCAAATAGTACCTTAAAACAACAAGTATTGTTACATTTCATGATTTTGTGAGTTAAGAATTTGGGCATTGCTCAGCTGGGCAACTTTTTTGCTTCAGAAGACAGACATATTCAAGGGCTTGGCGTGTGTATTTGGAAAGCTGGCCTCACTTGGGTCCCCCTCCATGTCTGTGTAGCCTTGGGGCCTCATACATGGTCTCTCTAGCAGACTAGATGCTTTCTTTGCTTTTCTTTTCTTTTCTTTCCTTTTCTTTTTTTAAATAAAGTTTATTTGGGACGCCTGGGTGGCTCAGTCAGTTAAGCGTCTGACTTTGGCTCAGGTCATGATCTCACAGTCTGTGAGCTCGAGCCCCATGTCGGGCTCTGTGCTGACAGCTCAGAGCCTGGAGCCTGCTTTGGATTCTGTGTCTCCCTCTCTCTCTGCCCCTTCCCTGCTCATGCTCTGTCTCTCTCGGTCTCAAAAATAAATAAACATTTAAAAAAATTTAAATAAAGTTTATTTATTGATTTTGAGAGAGGGAGAGAGAGACAGCATGAGTGGGGGAGGGACAGAGGGAGAGAGAACCCCAAGCAGGCTTCATGCTCAGTGCAGAGCCCGACAAGGGCTCACAGTCTCAAAAACTGTGAGATCACGAACTAAGCCAAAATCAAGTCAGATGCCTAACCAACTAAGCCACCCAGGCACCCCTAGCAGAGTAGGATGCTTTCTCACATGAGGATTCAGGCCTCTAAAAAAACCAAGGCTGAAGCCAACAGTATCTTTTAAAGGCCAGACCCGGAACGAGTTTATGGTCCACACCCCCAGTCAGGTTCAAGGGCTGGAAAAATAGAACCCACTTCTGTTAAAGGCTAAAGAATTTGCAGCCCCAATCTGACCCAAAGATCCAAAATACAAATTGGCAGAAGTGAACAATTAGTTTATAGTAAAGGAAATACAGATGATCTTCCCACATATGAAAAGATGCCCAACTTCACTCATTGTGAGATATGCACACTAATTTCCCCTGAGAAGCATAGACAAAGATCAAAGAGTGGTGGTAATGGCAATCATTAAGCTGCACTATTAGGTATTTAATCCTATAGATAAACTTACATGTGTGAGATAATGTAACCACAGCAGCATCATGTCTATCAACAGGGAGTATCTCAATCACTGCATATTCATATAGTATGATACTATGCAACTGTAATTAAGATCAAAGAAGCTCCTTGTGTCCTGATATGAAATGGTACCCCATATACAGTAAAGAGAAAAATCAGGCTATGGTATATCTGAGATTTATTTCAAAATAATTCTACGGGGGCTCCTGGGTGGCTCAGTTGGTTCGGCGTCTGACTCTCGGTTTCGGCTCAGGTCATGATCTTGCGGTTCGTGGGTTTGAGCCCT